CCCCCCCCTTCTGTGGCAGTGCTGTTTTCTGCCTAGCAGAGTAAAAGATTTTAGACCTCATTTAATTACTGTCATCGTAAGCTATCAGTGAAGTCAGGGTGCACCATAAATGGCAATGCAATATTTGTGAGAGAAGCATTTCACTTTTTAATAGCCTGCTTTTATAGTGAATAAAAACATGGAGTTTTTGTTTTCTGTGATTAAATCTGAACAGCATCTGATAGCCTTTTTGAAGAAAAGTAATTACTGTTTTTAAGATACTGTTTAACTATAATGGTTTCGTAGTTGCCCATTGCTATACTACTTTTCTTATTTGTCTGCAGTGTACTGTCAATGACTGTTGTTATGGACCACTGGTGGACTGCATCAAACAGTATCCTTTCCCATAAAATTTTAGGTGCACAATTGACGAGCTTAGCCTGAGTGGAAGAGATGTGTCTAGCTTTAACCTGACATAAAGTTCTGCTTCACAAAACACGTTTCATACTCCTGTTTTACATTCAATCAGCTGTAGGGTCACTGCAGAGATTTCTCTTACACTGTTTAAGAAAAATCAGACGGACCACGAGAAGTTGTCAGCTTGGTGGCTACATGTTCATATGCCTGATAGAATGTCTTTGGTTTTGATTAGTTGAAATACACATCTGGCTTTCTCTTCAGACTAGTTGACCATGCCTTGAGTGTTAGAGCTGATACCTGGCGATACTTTCCAATCTCAACTAATCTGTGATTAAATTAATAAGCTGCATAGATAGTGTTCAACAGTGTGGCATTCCTTTGTTATGACTATGAGTTGTGACTGAAATGTTTTCAAGTGCAATTCAGGGGCATGACCAACTAGTATTTTTAAACTTATTTCTGACATTCTACTGCAGTTCTCTATCTCTTCTTAAAGGAAATTAGACTAGCTGTTGGGAAGATGCCTGTGTAGTTTAATTTTAAGGTTTGTTAGGGTTTTTTGTTGATTTGTTGGGGTTTTTTTGTTGTTGAAATGGTTAATTATAGTTCTTCAGTATCAGTGAGAATATGGAGGGAACTCCAGACAGCACTGAGTATTCAAGACTAAGATTACAATTTGTTGGGAATGATCACTGCAATCCCGAAGCTGTTTTAATAAAGTCCTCAATTAGTAGCTCTTCTGCTTCAGTGTGCTGTCAAAGAATCAATTTCAAAAGCATGGGCTGCTATCACTGGGAAGGCTAGCAAGGCAATTCCTTTCCAAACCCTAGAGAATCCTTACATAAATCTCTTAATGCAGTTTGGGAGAAGATCTTGATTTCACTGTACAGTTTCAGGATAGCATAGCTACAGTGATGTTTAGTTACAAATGAAAAACAGCACTTGTAGTTGTGATATATGTGATGGTCACCCTTTAAAAATATGTTCTTTCCACTATAAATACTTTGTTGGTGTCTACTACAGTCTCAGCCCTGCTCTTATTAAGTTCAGTGGCAGCAGTCACTTAAGTATTCATTGAGACTGTCTTCAGCATTAAACACAGCTCTCTGAAAGTGAGTTAATCTAATAAGTTGCACTTTTTAAAAGGTTGTTGATCACTAAATTTCATATCCAAAATTTTAAAATTAATATTTTGGTGATGAACAATCTGGCTATAGTATTTTGAAAGTATCACGTTTAAAAGTAGTAACACGTATGTGGAATTATGAACACTGTTTAAGAATAACTTGGCCACAACCAAAAAAGATATTTTCTATCCTCTTCAGATCCAGGTTCAAGTGAAGCTATTGAATATGCAGTGATATCAGTGGAAATAATGAGGAGTTTTTAAATTTGATTATGGTATAGAAAAGTTTAATACTAAGCTGTGTGAGTGCATTATCTGCAAGTATGTTGCTGAATTAGATGTTAATTTTGAGGTGCATAAAATAGTTGAAAATCAATGTAAAGTTAAGGTTTTAAAAGCATAATGTCTTCTGAAGGATTGCATATTGATTTTAAATATAACTATCTAATTGTATATGCATGGACTAAAGTATGAAGTCAACCTCTTTGTAAATGCCAAGAGGCTATTTTTCAGTAATAGTTCAGATGCTTACGGGAAACTAGGCTGCTAGATTGCATGAGCAGAAAATGGCTTGTGAGGTTATTTACAAGTTTTGCCCCATGGTCATTGCCATACATCAATAACAGGTATTATTATAGACTAGGTCTAAGTGTTTCTGCTTGTGGTGCATTATAAATTCTGTTTGCAGTACTTTTCTTACATTTTGACTGCTCTTCATAATATATTGTTTCAGTTGATAAAAACTGTGTATATATATCAAGTATTCCATACAATTGGGATTTTAGCTGTTCAGCATAAAGTGTTGGTATAAATTAATTAGCTCAAATGGCAAGGTGATCTGTAAAGTTTTCAGAAGATATTCTAAACAGAATTAGGAACTTAACTGTTTTTAGTGTAAGATCCTTTATCATGATGTTCCATAAGATTTTTCTTAAAAGTTTCCGGAATAAGACTTTGACCTCCATCAAGGTACATTAAAAATATTTGATGTGATGTCTTTTTTACATACTGCTAAGAAAAGCACATTGAATCAACAGGCCACCAGTGAAGTGAGAAGGACTTCACTATAAAATATTATTTAATCCTTCCCTGACATCAGTTCATGCTTCTGAAAAATCAATTAAATGGATATTTTGTTACAGTAAGATGTTTCAGATGGATATAGTGCCTATCAATTTCAGAATATAAAGAAAAAGAACAGTATATTTTATTCTTTGCTGAATTAGAGACTTGGTACACTAGTCATTAAAGAGCAACTTAAAAGGTATTTAATGACATGTTTTAAGCTTACACTTTATTTTAAATTGGGGGAGAAATAAAACAAAAAAAGAAATATTACCCTTATTTATACTGAGTAAATACGATTTAATGGGTCTTAATTTTGTAAAATGTGTGCTGATGATACAGTAGTCTGATTTTCACAAAATGCTAAATGCCTCTGAAAATCTCTGTAAGGAATTTTAAAACTTAGTGTTCAAAGGTTCACTTTTGAAGTGCAGATGAAGGCAAATAAGGTTTACCATTAATTACTTTACCTATGATGTTTTTCTGAAGTTGCTTCTTTTCCAAAGTACTCTTCCCTTTCTTAACGTAAGCCTATCAGCGCTATTGGGCATGAGCATGAAGTCTTGCTGCGAGAAATGCTTTTGGAAAAAAATCTCTCTTTCATAGGTAAGAATCTGCAGTAGAGGCTAGTCAGTGAATCCTTAACTTCAAAGATTTCAGTGATTGTTTACTTAAGAAAAAAATACGCCTCAATGCTCTTTGTATTAGATAGTAAAGGAAGAGTAAAAAATGACTGATGCTGTCCATGTTATCTTTTATTGATTTAGAACTGAGCAGGAACTCAGTTACCTAATACCCTATATATACAGCACATGCACAGGCTTGCAATTAATATTTTATAGAATAAGTAGCTGAAAAAAATGCTTTAATATCTGCTGCAGTATTACTTTTGGTGTCATGAGATATTAGCCATAATCTAGGCCTTATGAGACTTAGGAGGAAGCATAAGAAATATTAGCTTCAAAATGCTTTATGTATTAAAGAACTGCTAGAGGATTCACTCATTTAGCTTTCTGTACAGTTTCTGCTGATTTTTTTCTCCCTGCCTTCCAACCAATGCAAGAACTCTCATCACTCTCCCTATATTTAAAGTTATTTTAAGGATTAATTAGTTAGGAAGTTATTTTCATTTTTTTCTTTTAGCCTGGACTACATTTCTTGTATATGAGTGCCATTAAAACAATTATTACTGTTTAAAGCGTCATTTCTCTTATTGTGAGAATAAACTCAACAGTGACTACTTAAATCTTGGAGTCCTTATGTGATGAGACAATAACAAAGGTAAACTCTGTCTTTTGTTAATGCTTGAATGTTGTACTAAATTTGTGTGATCAAGGAATTTTGCTGATTTTACCAGAAACTATGATCTCTTAAGTGAGAGGTTAAGAATTTTGAAACCTTAAACCAATTTAAACAACTAGAAAGAAAGTTTTAAAAATATTTGTCCATATGATTAAGGAACAGAGTTAGTGTGATCTTTTATTTTAGAGAAAAAAGAAAAAAAAAAACCAAAAAACACTTTTGCATACAAACTTAAAAATGATACTATGAAAATGTGAGGAGGTAGTTTTTCCTACTTGACTAGAAGAGTAGAAGTAATAGGCTGAAGCTCTAATTACAGAGATGAGGATGGTTAAAATACTAACCAGTTCTGGAAACATTAAGTATAAAACAAACTTCCAGGGAAGGCTATGGAATCACCTTCAATGAAAAATTCAAGGATAGACTTGACACTCATCCATCAAAGCTAGTAATGAAATCAGTCCTGTCACAATACAAGGGAATGGACTAAATGACTCACTAATAGATCCTCAACCCAACAATTACAATTTTATTTGGCTCGTGCCAAGTGTGTAGTACACAAATCAGATTTAATTTTTTGTGTTTCATGACCTTGGATAAGCGTCAATTTTGTCTTTACAAATAAGCTCTAAGAAATTTGTGCTATCAAATCAAAATATCTAGAATGGGTTAACTCATTACAATATAAAGATATAAATGGGAAGCCTGATTTATTCTTTCCATTTTGTGTATACTGAAGTATTTTTTAGTCATGATTTGTTATGCAGTTGTATTTGTCATTTTTGTGCATTACATGTGTCTTTGAGATTCTAGGGGTTTTTTTTAAAAATAGCTTTTCCTAGATATCTGCAAATGAACTCTATTGAACCCCTCACAATAAAATCTTTTCTTTCTGAAAAGTTAGTTCCGAAACTGCTTGAAGAAAACTTGAGGAAAATAGAAGATATGATGGTATTTCCTATGGGTCAGCACATCCAGGCTTTGAGTAAAAATACATTCCAGTTTTGAAGATGGCTTTTGACTTAAATTGCTGTACTCATAATTCCATCACTTTTTAACATGTATTAAAGAAACAGACTTCTTGCTGTTTCCATGTTAGTGTATTCTTCAAGAATAGTAAGTTTTTTGTATCAGCTACAATCACCTGGGCAACAGAGAGTCTGTTACAGGAGAAGAAAGCACAGTCAAGGGACACTGTGAATATAAATGTCCCAGTATAGTCTTAGAGCATGAAGAAGCTTTTCAGGTCCAGGATGTAATTTGTCTGGTTTTAGAGCAGTTAGCTTTCAAAGCCTCCAGATAGAAAATCACACCTTCAGATTCATACAGAAATTAATTGCAAAACTATACAAACTAATAGGGTTTGCATTTTATTAGTGTACTGTTCATGAGATGCACGTGAAAAAAATACGTCCTCTCTTCAGCAAAAACACGGTTCTCAATCTTTATCAGTTTTCCTGAGATTAAAGTGAGCAATGGAATAGTTCTCTCAAAACAGGCTAACAGCTTCACTTGACAGACTGAAATGCCAGGAATTTCTAGGTTCTAGGTAGGATCTTTAGTTTTTATATCTTTGTCATGAATATGTTAGGAAAGCTTTCAGCTGCAATGGGAAGGGACTGACCTTTGTCTGGAATCTTTTCCTTCTTTTGTTCCCACCATGATGTCCCTCAGTAGTAGCCTGGATATAAATAATGAAATCTGATAATTTTTTTTCTGCTATAGTGGCAAATTTGCCGGTCACTGCTTGTTCATGCACCAAGAGAAGAACATTTGGTTTCTTTCTTATATCCAGAGGCTGGTTTAAGAACAATGATGAGTTAAATGTTTATGGTTACGTGTGAAGTTATGGGAAAGATGAAGCTCTGCTTTTATTGAAAATCCAAATTAATGGGGAACTTGTAGAATAACTACTTATTTAGGGCTGTTTCACTGTGATTTCAAATCTGAGGATGAATAAATATAACTGTCAAAGCTGTGAAGGGCTGGCTTTTAAGCAGATGTTAAATTGTTCTCTTCATCCGTGCAAGAGCTAAGAGATCTTTTAAGGTGCAGTGTTACCTCTGTAGCTTCTGGACCTAATCTAAAACATACCTGGACTGAAAAGCTAGAACTTATTTTCTTTTCATAGGGTTTTGTTTTTTTAAAAAAAAAATATAAATAAATATGGTGATTGTGGGGAGTTTCTGTAATTATTTTTGCGTTTTTTCTCCCAAAATTATGAAGCTTAAGAATACTGGAAGAAAGAGTAATACTTAATTATGTTCCTGCATGTGATAGACAACTCTCATCAATAATAAACATGGTTTTTAACATATTTTCCAATGTTTATTGTAATACATAATTTTAGAAGAAACCAAGTGAAAACATTCAGAAACAGACTTAAAACAAACAAAAAAAAGTTCTATTTCAAGCCATACATTAGTGTCAAATGATTTTAAAAGTAATCTGGCATCCTTGAAAATAGTCAGCCGACGAATATTAAAAGTATTGCTGATTCAAACTCCAGTTCAGAGACCTGCCAAGTTGACAGTGAAATGTTTTTACATCTGTCTTGATTTTCAGTGGGATTTTTTAAGGTACATTTTCCTGAATTTGAGATACTAACATTTGTTAGATATTATAGAAGAGATTGAACTTTCTCTTGCCATTCGTGTGCCCTTAAGTAATGAACATTTTAGCTGGGACATCTTGTTGTCTTTTCTAGACTGTTGTGAACAATTAAGAGGAGACAGTTAAACAGAGTTGAATAAAACTGGATTGTTCTTTATTTTTATCAAGATGCAGAAATTATTTAGAGCATTAATTAATTTTCTGCTAGGGCATAAAACTCTTTATTCATAGGTTCTGTTAAATTAGAACCTTGTTAATCTAAAAAACTTTTATCCATATACCTGACAATGTTTGAAAAATGCCAACAGCCAAGTCTGTCTCCAAATCATGGAAAAGTTTAATAGCCAATCGGGTGATACAATGAAGTGTTAAATTGCAAAGACTTGTGGTTTACAATATAGTGTGTTTACAGTGAAGAAATACTTTCAAATGTAAAAAAAAAATACTATCAGAAACAATAAACAGCTATTGAAGTTCACACTTAACTGAATGTAGAATGGTTCCAAAATAACTTCCATTCTACTTTTCAGTTGTAGTTTACTACATAGAGAAAACACTTCCAAGTTATATTCTTCAGCAAGAAAGAGGAGAAAAGTTTGCTTCAGGCAGTTTTAAAATATTTTTATTTCTGAGAGTGTATGTTTTCCTTGTCATTAAAATGTTACTTGGACTCAAACTGCTGACCTTTCAGGATATGCACAAAGTATTCTAAAACCGAGTTCTGAACATTGGCCGTGAAACTACAGCCCTAACCTGATAAATGGATTGGAAATAAGCTACCCAACAGTGAGAATGGACCATTAATTTTAATCAAAGGTGATGTAGAAAGGCGAATGGGATGCATGACAATGTCAACAGCCCAGTAGGTGTTAAGGGGCTACATAGCCTTACTTGTTACTAGGTAGTGCCATTAGTTGAGCTTGGGTGAAGACAGAAAGCCATGCCTGGAATTGAATGACCAGGTCACTCCAAATTCTAATAGAGAAATGGTGTTTCAGAAATTCCAGTGTAATGGTATCAGAAACCAAGGAGCAGTTCAGAAAATATTAAGGGCTTGCTTTGTCTTCTTTTTATTTTATTTTTTTTGTTAAAAGGAAGCATCTTTTGTGGTTTTATCTTGCTCATTCATTATTGTTTCTTGAAATATTCAGCTCTAATATTTGTAAGCGATAGAGTTTAATAGTTACTGTTCAAAGACTTTCTGAATCTTTGTATGTTCTGAAACTGGGTAGATTCTATAGAATGCAGAATGCAAGAGAAACTAAAATTGTGGATTCTGTGTCCTTTAATTAATTTCTGGAAGAGAAGGATTTTCTTGTTCCTTTTTTAACAACTTCATGCTAACATTAAAATAAAGCCAAGAAGGCAGCTACAGTATATCTACATTTGTGGTGTTAGTAGGTTTAATCTGAACAGTTTACTGATGTGGGGAGACTCTTCTTTCAATCAGTGAATATACCTCTTTATTTTTAATATTTAAGGGTTATAAAATACTGTATGACAGCTTGAATTAATGATGTTTATAATGAAGACATAAAAATGCAGAGATGACAAAGAAGCATTTTTATATCCATGCTCTAGGTTTTCTACAAAGGTTCATTTAATCTGACACAGCATTGCGTGCAGAAGAAAGATATGTACTGCTGCATTAGTAATTCTTGCACTCTTATTTAAAATAAAATTAATTATACTGCTGTCTACGTAATAGAATACTTTTATCAACAATAGTTCTTTTTCTCTACGTCTAGCTGAAGATCAGCTCCGTGCAAAGGGTTATGACAAAACACCAGACTTTATTTTAGAAGTGCCAGTAGGTAAGTCTTTTAAAATATTTTTTATTATTTTATTTTTTTATAGAAGAGTTCATGTTAAAATATTATAGCTACTTAAGTGGAGTGTTTTATAGAATACTACAAATTACTCTCTTTTTTCAGTAGTTACCCAACAATTTTAAGAACTTCTAGTTTGGGTCAGAGAGGTTTGATCATAAGTAGTGTTACCCAGTGTTTCCTCTTTGGTCGCTGTGTATTTTTGTCTCTTTATCGCAAAAGAGAAAGAGAAAAACAAGATAACAGTAAGAACCCTACTCCCTTTAACTTGCTCTACCCACTGGCTTTATGAACTCAACTTTGAAGTCTTAAGCTCCTAGCCTGAATCAGCTCAAGCAGTCCTAACAGTATAACCATTATACGTTTAGGTCATTGCATGAAGGTTTGTCACTGTGCAGTTTTTCTTTTGTCATCACTTTGAATGTAAATACAACTCTGCGTTTCTCAATTGCTTCTTAAAAGTCTGCATAGAAAGAAGAAGGTTTATATGTAGGTGTAGAAGTCATGTCAAAGTTCATCTACATCTTCTGGTTTTGAGGCCATGTGAGAACGTAATCAGATGACCTAGTGGCTGGACCATGGAAAAAAATAAAAAATAAAACATCCATGTTGTCCAAGTGTAAAGGATTATTAATCACCTTTTGTAAATGGACTTTCATGCCAGAAGACTTCCACTTCACCTTCTTAGAATGCAACACCTGTCTCTGCAGATGCCTACCAGTGTGTCTGTCGGAGAAAAAAGGAAGGCTGAAAGCACTGTGTGAAAGTCACATACATGACTGGGTTTTTGATCTTTGTATTGACAACAGTTGGAGTTCTTACTGAGCTAACTGATTTGTACACTGGTAAAAGGAATTGAGTGCATACTATAAAATGTCTCACTGCTTGGAAGTGCTTGAGATACCCTATCTCAGCACACTCATCTGCTATGCAGTAGATAAGGAACTATGTCCATGAGAGTCTTCTGAAAAGTCTTTGAAGACTTCCCTTAGTTTAATGATGTTTCTATTCCTAATTAAATTTCAATAAAAAGAAAACGTAGTATGTACAAAACAAAAAATATCTTTGTAACTGAACCACTTCATATTTGAAACAGTTGGAGAGTTTTTAATTGATTTCTTCTTCACTTCTATACCTCTTATTTATGGAGGGATTCAGGAAGCTACTAAGGACTTATGAGGGAATGGTTGTTTTTTATTAAGTCTAAAGTTAGCAGGGAAGATTGCAGAATGATAGTCACAGAATGGCTGAGTCTGGAAGGTACCTTTCTGGTGGTCATCTGCTCAAGCAGAGTCACCTGGAGCTGGTTGCTGAGGACTATGTCCAGATGGCTTTTGATTTTTCTCCAAGGATGTAGACTCCACAATCTCTCTGGACAACCTGTGCCAGTGCTTAGTCACCCTCGCAGTTAAAAAATGTTTCATGATGTTCAGATGGACCCTCCTGTGTTTCAGTTTGTGCCCATTGCCTCTTGTCATGTCACTAGGCACCACCGAAATGAGCCTGGCTCCCTCTTCTTAACACTTGCCCTTCAAGTAGTTATATACATTTATAAGACTCCCAGTGTGAACTACAATAAACACAATACATACTTGGTATTAAGATACTCACTTATACATTAGAAACAGGTAAGGTTATATCCAAGCTATTCATGAGCTTGATTAAATGGAATCAAGAAAAACAACTTGATGGAGCTAATTTTTCTAATACTTGAGAAGGGAAACTAGGAAACACCCAAAATAATTTGTGGATTTATAATATTACCCTATTAGAAGGAAGGTTAAAAATAGCAATTTGTTTGCATGGATTTGTCTTTCCGAATCCAAGTAGTGATACTGCTTTACTTCAAATTATTTCAGTCACTTGAGATTGGCAGGAAAGTTAACTTTGTTACTGACAGCAGGGTAGTAGTAACATATGGAATTTAGTATGGTGACTTCGTAAATTATTTACCCAGATTCCCCAAGTAATTTTTTCTGTCTGTGGTCATTCATGTGCTGCCACTACCTCTTCTAATCTTCCTGTATTGTGCTTTTGGGTCTGCTTGCCCTTTGAGTACCTCATCCCAGGTCAAACTTAGGGTAAGACATCATGGCTGGGGATATCTTAGGGAACTCAAAATAAGCGAAACAATTACTCCACATTACGTTTTGGAAAAAGAATGTTCTTTTAGAGTGAGTGTCATGATTTCTTCTGAAAAATTAGGTTGTTAATTTCAAAGAGGAGTTTTCTTTTACATAAAAACATATACATATAATTTTATTAATATTAGAATATAAGTTCTGCAATAAATGAGGAAAGATGTGAACTAAAGGAAATCCCACAGCACTGAAAAAAACAGAAATTCAAAATGGCATTTCTTCACATAAACCTTCTTATTCCTAACTTCTTTCTGGTGAAGCATTACTGATTTTGCAAATTAAGGAAACAGGTATCTATGATGAACTGTCTTGCCATTCTCACACCTTCCACTGTGGATTGCTGAGAAGTTTGTATCTTTAGCAGCTTAGGTAACTGTTGTTGTTATTCACCAGAAGCCTTCAGTTTCCTACTTGACAACTCCTTTCCAGCAGCCTGGTCTAGAGTGAGATGTCCCTGCTCATAGAAGGGAGGCTGGAACCTGAGAATGTCTAAGTTCCCTTCCAGCCATAACCATTCTATGATTGTATAATTCTATCATAAAATAAGATGCAACTTACTCTAGTCTCTTTTTCTTTTCATTCTGTTTGTGTTGGAGTAAATGCAAATAGCTAGAAAAGGGTGTAATTAAACTGAAATTGATATAGTTATCCTTTTTCTGGTACTTTTTAAAAAAAAATGTCCTATGTGCATATTTGGAAAATATTTTTACAAATATGTAACTCTGTTGCAAGCATGAAGTATATGGTAGACTGGTGGGTCAATGGGATATTCCAAATCACATTTTAGAGCCTTTTGAATTTAATTTTCAGAGTTCACTATTTTCTTCTGTCACCCTAGCTGTTGAAGGACACGTCATTCACTGGATTGAAAGCAAAGCCTCATTCGGTGATGAAAGTAGCCACCAAGCCTATTTGCAAGACCAGTTTTGGAGCTACTGGAACAGGTACATTTCTGTTAATTTTCCTTATAGACAAATATGACTGCATTTTTAAAAGAAGTTACCGGAAAAAATACTAGTGACATTTGTATTAAGCCATGTGAACAAAATACATGTTACTATTCTGTCATTTTGCATGTCATTAATTAGCATGTCAAGTTGGTATCCTAACATATTTGTGAAAAATTTACATAATTATTAGTATGCAGCAGATATATATGGTGATTTTACAATGGTACTTTGGTACAGAAGTTGTATATCAATTTTTTTTAGTACTTGATTTTGAAGAGTTTTGTTGTAATGTTTTGTAATACTTGCAAGGTGCCAAATTTATTTATCTTCACAGTCTAACCACCTTGGCTTTGTATTAAAAACTGTATTGTTATTGTATGTAAGTTAATACTGGTTTAGTGTTGCTTTTTTTCTAATAAAGTATTTTTTTAAATATTGCCTACATTTTTAAGCAGTAATAACAATCATCTTCAAGCTAAGAAATGTAGTAGGTATTTTCAGGAACATAAGGAGGGAATTAAGTTATACTGAGCAGAATCTTTGAACATGATGGTAGAAAGATACTTTAAAGATTATTAGAATAGTTCTACTTTATTCTTGTAAAGATCATTGTTGTATGTATGTATATATCTTTCCATGGTACTAGAAGCCTCCTCAGTGGAGGATTTTTCTTCCAAAAAATTCCTAAACAAGCTTCTTCAATTCAGTTTTTGTATGTGGTGGAACCCTAAGCAAGGTAGCGAATCAGTAAGGTAAATGAAAGTTTTAATAAAAGATTTTTTTAAAGTGTAAGTTTAGAAGTCTGCTCAGTGTTCACGAGTGCATCAGTGAAATCTGAGAGATAGTGAAGGTGGCACAAACATGTGAACATGCAACAAATAATCACTGTGTGCTAACATGAGAGGCTAGTTTGGTGACCATTAAATATTTCAGCTGAATATGAGAAATGTCAACAGGAAAATAGCTAGCCTTAGTTTGGGATATACTTTAAAAGCAGGTTCTATAGGAGGCAGCAGAGAAGGGGAAACCAAATCTTGAGAATAACCTCATCAGAGTTCAGAATTATGCTCTGCAGCAACATTCTTGATTGACATGTGAAGGACCTGCCCTTATTTGACGACCCCAGAAAGCAGTGACATGAAGAGCTTGACTTGAGGTAATGGGAACCTCAGGAAGGCTGTCAGTTGTTGGATGAAGATACTATACTACAGGAAAGTTATGGAAAATAATTTTTGAAACATATAACCAGAGTGTAAGACTTTAGGAAGAAATTTGATTATATACAGTATCATCAGTGTAAATAAGAGGCAGTGGAGCTGCTCAACCTGGGAAGAGGCATACTGGCTGGAATATTTTCTGAGGAGAAAGGATGTGTTTGAAGCAATACATGATGGTATCAGAGAAAAGGAGCTCCAATAAGTGAATTTTAAATAGATCACATGAGCATAAAGATACTAAGTTGAGGTGGGGTGAAAGTTGAATAGGCAAGTAGGATGAAGGCACTGATATATTTGTTTGCAATAGAATTGCCATGGCAAGATTCAAGTTGTAGTTTCTGGTTTTTTTGTAGTTAACAAAATTATTATCCGTGTTTTGGTTTGAGCTGTAAAATGTGTGAGATATTCTACAACAGTGTTTATCATTTGAATCTGATATTTCCTAAAGAAACTTCTATTATGCTTTTATCAGAAAACCAAGACATAGCTCACTGCTTTTTAATTTTAACATGTACTAATTAATATTGCTACTTCAAAAATGAAGTAACATCTCTCATTGAGCTGTTAGTCAAGTACCTTTAATGTTACAAAGGCTAGACTGAACTGGTATCTAGATCAATAAGATTGTTTTGGAAGTAGTTTTGAGATTTTGCCAAATCTTCTATTATTGCTTTTTGTATTGCCAACAACTACAAAAATTGTTGATTCTTAAATATAGTGACTTTACATTCATATAAAGGAAACTAGAAATCTCCTTATTGACACTTGTTACTCCCCAAATCTAGAATTCGGTGATTTCCAACTATGGAGATCAGACAGATTTTTGTGGGTTGTTTTTTTTTTAAAAAAAGACAAATCCTCTTTAGTTTTAATTTTGGTACTACTTGGCCAAAATAACACTTATCACATCATCTTCTGAAATGAGTTCCGAGTTAACTGCAGCTTATTGTAATATAATGACAGTTGGGTTAATGTATAGTTGTTGACAGGTTAGGCTGTGTGTAGGTTAGACAGTTAGCTTTTGCTTTTTGAAATGATTGTTACGAAAAGACACAGGTGTAGCTGCACGAACTGTGAATCAACTTTGTATTTTTTAATGAGCCTATGGAAGAACCCTCAAATGAGCCAGCTTTCCAGTCAATTCACTGTACCTGTGTGTCTCCTTGCCTCTTGAAGGAGAAATCATTTGGAGAAGAAACATCAGTTCACAAGAGATCATGACGCTCAGCTGATAGTTTAGGGGTTTGTTTTGTAAACCTGATCTGTCGGTTGAATTTAAAGGCAAATTGAAATTGGAGAGAAAACCTGTAACATCGCCTCTTAGATGTGTAGAGAAATACAGGTCTAGATGCTTTGAAAGGAGTGAAAATTAGAGGCTTTAGACCTTTTCCATTAAGCTTTTTTGTTTGTTTCTGTCTCCAAAAAGTAGGAGCGAGACTGAAGAAGTTTCTAGGGTTTTCCCACATCTGTCACAGATGCAAGTTTAATTCTGCACACAATCTGACTGAAAGCTTTGAACATAGCTGTGGCTTGTTTGCTGTTATGTGTGTATTTCATTAAATCCTGTACTCTGCGCTAACTAAATCTTTGAGTGTCTTAAATTGGTCTGTAGTGACAGGAAAGAAATGGCACTTTCTCATTTAACAGAACAGCTCCCTAGATGCAGTCAACCATGTCTGTTCACCTCAGTGCAAAAGAACACCTTTTTATTACTCTGAGTTCTGCAGGGACAGCTTAGCAAGGCTTTTTATGGCTCATACATCAATGGTATTGTTAAGCAATTTTCAGTTGCAGTGCTGCATTGCAACCTCATCTTCAAATTAAGCTTCACATTAAAAATGTACAAAGTGTACCTTGTCAGTGGGTTTGCACAGTTGTAATTTAAGATACTCTTCAGATATTGAGAATTTTCAATAATAAAGAAACAGGGAAAGACAAGTTTGGTCTTGCATATTCCCAGACTGATTTTGCAGAGTGATGTTTTAGAAACAAGCAGTTTTATATACTGAACAAAATTACTCATGTACTTAAAGAATCCCTTCTCTCAATTCACTTATTTCTCCAAAGTGGTGACATCCCCTGAGCAGCCTACAGCTTTCATCGCCACTAGGTAAACAAGAAAACTGTGTGTGCAAAATATAATTGCTTTGTGCACATGTAGTCGATACCACACTTTTCATTGTTCACTGGCCTACATTGGTGTATTTCTGTAACCATAAGGATAAAAACCGTTGAATAGTCTGTGTCACTAAAAGTGATTTAGAGAGCATGAACAAGAACTAACAGAGATTGCACTATAAAGCATGGTCTAAGAACATGTTGGAAATTATTTTAGGGTGTAAATGAATGTTGCTGTTTCTTTTTTTTTTCCATACTGTCTGATTTTTAATTTTTTTCTAACTTAAATTAAAAATTGGAGTCCTGGCTGTAAAACACAGTCAGAACTGATAGGCGTGACTGCTTTTTTTCTAAGAGGCATATAGAGATCAGCAACATATGGTCCAAATACTAATTAGGAGGTGCACTGTCAGTGTCTTGCTGTAAGAAGATAAAAACTCAAATACAGCAATTTACATTTTCTGTCTTCTGCAAGCCTGGCTGAAGTGTATGTACATTCTGGAATGTAATTTTTATGAAGTCCCAAGAGAAATCTTGATGCCGTTATTAGCTAAAGAAACTTTACTGTTTGACCATAGGAAAATGTCATATTTGACACTGATATTAAACTAAATATAATTTGACATTGTGAAAGAGAAGCATTTCATGTTCTCTTTGAAAAAGAACGGTAAGTCATCCCTGTACTCAATTTCTTCCCCCATTTGCTTGTATTCTAAATCCTGATAATCCTGTACTTCTGGATTTTTGTAAGAATAAATAAAAGTTTCCCATAAGTAATTTTAAAACAGTAATCACACTTTTTGGAAGCCTACATTCATGATTAAATATGTTATTAATTAATATATTATGTCTGATCTTGAGACTTTTATAACTAACAGTCATAGTAAAATTATCAGAGTCCTGTAGATTAAAAAAGGTGTTACAGAAAAATGTAAACATAAACAATGTTAAAGATTGTGTTTCTGCCACAAACACAGCTGATGTGTTCTTTGGGTTTTTTGAGAAGGGTGTTGTATTCAAATTCCTTTGCAGTTGACTATATGAATCAATCATATGTGAAAACAGACTTAATTAGAATGATACAAATATTTTTTTTTCTCTGCAGCTGTTTGAAATGGTTTGACATGTTACTGTGAAGACTGTTTAAGTAATAATTGTTGTCAGATTGTAGGTTATAGGGGAAGAGGGAGGTATGCTGAGGGTTTATGGACGTTTGTTCTATAACAAGATCAATATTCTCCAATTGCAAATGGTTTAAAATTTGTACTGGTGAATTGAAAGCCAGTGGCATAACAACTTGACTTGGAGGAAACCTTGGGAGTTGCATTTGTCAAGTGGCTAGGAAAACTGTTCATGCATACCCAGTATCCAAAGCTTCATTGGCAGCCCAAACATAAAGAACTGAAAGGTCATTCTTCTTCTTGCAGTATGATGGTTTGTTGACATATTTTGACATACTGGTACAATGCTGAAAGGTTTTGACCTTACTGCAACACTGAGGGACTTAGGATTTGTTTAGCTATCTAATGTTTGTAGTTTTTCACACATGCTGGGTTTTGTTCTGTTCCTTTTTGTTTCCCTCTTGGCTCCACTTTAATTAGTAAATTAATCTGCAAATTGGATGTAGATAGAAGGGAGAGTTTTTGATTAATCTTGCAG